TCTGATGCTGCCTAGCCTGCTGTGCTCCTCCAGCTCCACACTTATCTCTAACTCCAGCATCGGCAGTTCTTACCATCTCTGACCCACATTGAACAAATGTTGATCATTACCAACATAATGCCAGACTGCTTATTATCCATAAACCACTGCAGAACAGTTTTATTACTTAATAAATGGTACAGAAATGAAGGCTATTGTTTTTCCCTATTAAAGTAGATTAATTTGAATGAGTAAACCAAATCCAAGCTTTTCACTTTCCCTTTAAAACAATACTAATCTGCTGTTGGTCTAATCTACAAAATTGATTTCTTAACCCCCCGAAAAATCTCATGAACTCTGAAAAGCACTCAGATGTCATAACCCACTCCTGTCCTCGTAACAGAAAATTCCTCATTCATTAAAAGCAATGCATGGATTGATCACTGTAGTCAGCCCCTTTTAGTTACTAAAATACCAACCTAGGACTACTTATCTTCTCTGCATAACAATTCATCCTTTAGTACCTGTCTAGTCATCCATATATTGAAAAAAAGAGTTTTCAAATTCATTATGAAACTTTATAAATTGTTATGTCCTTAGTGTTGAACCAACATGACACATTTAACACAACAGACAAATACACCCTCATGACCGGATTCCCTTTTCTCTTTCTAAAATATGGAGCTTAATCTTAACTCAACAATGAAGCAAAGATACAATTTGGACCGCACATTTCATGGCACCTGTCAACACAATGTTTTAAAGCAGATAAAAAACACGCTTGCAAAATCTTACCAAAATCCCTACACAAAGATTAAAAATAGCATAAAACTTGTAAACTACAACGTGGTTGCAAATTACAGACTCTAAAACGTGGCTATTTAACCTTTACATGAAGACTCATCTATTTAAAAAAGCTGTGCAAAATGTACAGGATTAACTGCATATACCAATGTTGAGTCTGAATTAGCTTAATGGTTGCCTTACTTAGTAAAATCTAAAAGAAAAAACAAAATAAGCACCTAGATTTCAATATTACACTGATGTACGGTTTTTTTTAAAATTCTATTTTACTAATCTCTACTCAGTTTCACTAACAATGGTGAACACTACAACCTTTCATGTAGACAAGTGTTTTTAAATATTCTAGAGAATAGCCAGTCATCATTAGCAAATCTTAGATTTCAACAACAGAAACAGACTGATGCATGCAGCTTTCTCCCACTTAAAAAAATCTCCACCAAATTATTGAAACCTGTGTAAATGGTTTGTTCATCATCATTGTAATGATTTTTTAATAATCACAATTTTACAAGGAATTTCAATCCTATCAGTACTAAATGAACAATAACTGATACCTTCTGCTTAAATAGTATCTACTGCCAAGGATGTTACTTCAAATAACAATTAAAAAGGTGCATGCAAGAGTCCAAATTCTAAAGCAATTTTGTAACAGCCTATTCAGAAGATAGCACGATTAAAAACTCCTTACTGCTATGAACAGGTTTGTAAAATTATTTTCAATCCATCAGCTAGGAAATCAGGGTCTCATAGGGTTGTCGATATTCTGATTTTGGTTAATTCCATATTTGCTTTTATGATTAGGAAGCAAACAGTCATTGTGGCCTTTATAATATTCTTTGAAACAGGTCAATAGTCAGGGTGATTTGTGAAATATGCAAAACAGTGATTATACCACACAAAACACTATGTTACCTTTGGACAAACTATAATATGCACTTAAGGATTGGAGGATTCATTAGATGTGAATATTAAATTCACAACACTACTGTTCAACTACATGTTCAGTCACCATATCATACCTCCATTGGCAGCAAATAGCTTCTTTAGAAAATAGTGAAAAGTAACCACTGTAGATATACGCTTCATGAAAACCAGCACAGCAAAACCCAAACTTACTGTGAAGGTTTCCTCACCACAGCCATATTTGCAGTCTAATATGCAATTAACATTTAACTTAGCTAGCCACACTCCTATCTAAGGTTTTTCTCTGTAATGAAGATATTTTGTCTGTTTTATTTTATAATAGGAAAGGATTAGTCGTAGAGGTCTGGGATGTAGGTGGCGGGATGCCTGTTGATATAAGTGGCTGGGGCATTGTTCCAGTAATGTTCATTCCTGCACCCGTTCGACCAACGGGTACGGGAACCATTCCCATTGCCACTGGTGCTGACATAGAGGTGTGTGGCATCGGCTCCATACTGACTGTGGGTAAGGTGCCAAACGTAGACTGTCCTGAGGCCATCAAAGGACTTGCTCGCATTTGGTTCAGCGTAGGAGGCTGTGGCTGGTTAATTTGAAAGGGATTAATCTGAGTGACCTGGACTGGAGCTAAACCTATGAAAAAAGAAGAAAATGAACATTAATAAAATAAATTTAGAACTTAGGACATCCAAACAAAAATTATAATGTAATTTACATTATTTGCAAGAATTTACTACTCATTTTCTATCTTTATACTAACAAAATGGTCTCACTTTTATTTGGTTTCACATTATTGTAATAGACAGATTTATTAAAAATCCTTTCTTTCCTTGAAGAATTTAATCATTTCTGACTTTTAAATATGCTGAAGAACAGAAATACAAGAAACTCATCTGCATTCTTGTCAGTTAAATCAGAATTTCATTGACCATGGTAATGCACTTCTGCGTGTGTACTGTATACTACAAGTTTAAGATTTTTAATTCTCATCCACATACTTTGGATCATTTTCCATGCCTGGAAACACAATAAAGCAGAAGACAGGAAAATGCAAACATAATAGTGGATGGTGTTACAAAACAAAAGTAGGTCGTTTATATGTTAAAAGTTAAAAGATTTTAGGTTGGAATCCAGTAATATCCTGAGTCTGGTTCAGCTTGAGAAAATGGTCAATTGTGGAGTAGGGGGAAATTGATGGAAATAACACAGGGTTTATTATGGAAGCCAACAATGCATTTCAGAATACAACAACAAGCAATGCAGATTTTCTTTATTTCAGTTTGTCTCAAATGAAAAAAATAACCTGACTCGTGTCAAATACCAGGTTGAGCATATTCGGATTTGTTGTGCACCATAACATTGAGTGAAAGCACAAATGGGTAAGTAGCCTCAAGCTATCCAACATACATCAGCAAACCGACATCATACAAGTTAAAAAGCTAAGAATCCCACATGAAGGCAAACAATCCTATCTCCATATTAATCTAGCTTTGTGCTGACACGTTATTTTGAACTCCCAAAGAAGCAGAATTAGAGGAATTCATCAACATCCTCTATAATTAGTGCTCCAATTAATTGAAGCCAGAACATGCAGAAACAATACTTAAATTGATACAACAGACATTAGTTAATTTTTTTTTCAAACCAACTGATACAATTATATGCACAAAAAGCCATCACCCTGAACACCTTTCGCAAGCTGGTGAGGTCATTGCTAATGCATTTTCAGTGTGCATGCATAAAGTTGGAATACTTCAACAGTGCATTGACAAACCTATTTACTGCATCCTGGATCTTAATCTCAAATTTAAATTCACTAATTGACAGTGTTCATTATTGTAAGGCCCACTATATTTTCTAAGTACAGTAGTTCTTAAGCTTAAAACTAGACATTGCAAATTTATTTGTCAGGAATTCATTACTTCCCTGATTTGAAGTTTTCTTGGATCCCTGTTAGTTGGCTTCATTCATTGGCATGTTTAATGCTATTTTCTTTTCGGTCTCCTTCTTGGCCCTCACAACCCTAGCAGCTTCATCAGCCCCTCTTACAGCCTTGTCCAAACCTCCACCTGCATCCTACCTAGCTGACATCCTCACCCAGGTTCAGCCAGCAGAATCCCTGGATCTGACAAATATCCACTCCAGCAGAAAGCCCACCATACCGACCAAAACAGGTCTCACCACCTGCCATTATAGCTTCTCTCCCCCGCCCCCAACTCCTTTTTGAGCAAAAGCCTCAAAGTTATTTCCCTTGCATTCTCCTCAATGTCTACAAATATTCAATGGATAGAGAATTCATGCTTTCTTGATTTGGATGGAACCAGAGCTGTTATGACAAAATATACTAAAATCTCTCTCAGATGTAATGGAAAATGACCAATATTTCTCAATTTGTGTAACAACCCTATTGGAAGTCATCTTATTGAAATACTGTTGAATGCTGGTATGAAAGTTACAAAGCGCAAAAACTAATTCTAAGATATTCTTAAACTTCTCAGAAATAATAAACAAAAAATACAAGTTCTAGATTAAAATAATCTCAAAACTGTATTGGCAAAATCTTAAAAATTGAAGAGCATCACTGCTACTTTCCAGAATTAGTAGCCTAGTTCAATTTATAAAAACATTTTTGAAATGCATACCTGAAGCCAGGAAAGGATTTGATATACTGGAAGGTTGCGCAGGCTTGGATACCAGGGAATCCAGATTCACCAAAGCTGCATTAGGGCCCAAAAAGGACTCTGGTGTCTTTCGAGCAGTTGCTTGCTTTGATGGCGCTGAACTAGGAAGTGCAGAATCAAATAAATCTGGACTAATTGAACCACTGGGTTTAGAATTTCCTCCCAACATGTCAGGCTCACCTGAAATGAAAATTGACCAACCTCAAAATTATAAACAAAAACATCAAGTCAATTTCACAATGGAGGATACAGAACTATCAAATCCTATGGTAATTTTTAAGTTGTCTTTTTGATAGCTACTGGTCCACATAGTAACCTGAATTAACAGTCAACTGTAGCCCAACACAACATTTTTACTATAATTCTAATGGTTCTCTGAAGGTATTAACACTACCTGCACTATAAAGTACAAGATCAACACATTTAACCACAAAAATCACAATCCTACCCAATACCTCACCAGCTTCCATATTTAACATATGCTTAGTGATAATGACCATTGATCTTATAAACACAAACAAGATTTATGGTTGGAAAGCTGTACTGTATAACAGACAGTCATGCAAGTATACAGCACAGAAATAGAACCTTTGGTCCAACTCGTCCATGCTGACCAGATATCCAAATAAATCTAGTACCATTTGACAGCATTTGGCCCATATCCCTTTAAACCCTTCCAATTCATATACCCATCCAGATGCCTTTTAAATGTTGTAATTGTACCAGCCTCCAACACTTCCTCCAGCAGCTCATTCCATACATGCACCATCCTCTGAGATAAAGTTGCCTCTTAGGTCCCTTTTATATCTTTCCCCTCTCGCCTTAAACGTATGCCATCTAGTTTTGGACTCCCCCATCCCAGGGAAAAGACCTTGCCTATTTAGCCTATCCATGTTCCTCAGGATTTTATAAACTTCTAGAAGGTCACCCCTCAGCCTCCAACGTTCCAGGGAAAATAGCCCCAGCTTATTTAGCCTGTCCCTATAGCTCAAACCCTGGCAACATCCTCATAAGAGATAACAAGGTGTAGAGCTGGATGAACACAGCAGGCCAAGCAGCATCAGAGGAGCAGGAAGACTGATGTTTCGGGCCTAGCTTGGCCTGCTGTGTTCATCCAGCTCTACACCTTGTTATCTCAGATTCTCCAGCATCTGCAGTTCCTACTATCTCTGAAACATCCTCGTAAACCTTTTCTGAACCCTTTCTAGTTTCACAACATCCTTCCAATAGGAGGGAGACCAGAATTGCACGCAGTACTCCAATAGTGGCTGGACCAAATGTCCCGTGCGGCCACAACATGACCTCTCAACTCCTATACTCGATGCACACTGATCAATAAAGGCAAGCATACCAAACGCCTTCTTTACTATCCTATCCACCTGCGACTCCAATTTCAAGTAACTATGAACCTGCACTCCAAGGTCTCCGTTTAACCACACTCCCCGGGACTTTTCCATTAAGTGTATAAGTCCTGCCCTGATTTGCTCTTCCAAAATGCAGCACCTCACACGTATCCAAATTAAACTCAGTCTACCACTCCTCGGCCCATTGGCCCATCTGATCAAGATCCTACTGTACTCTTAGGTAACCTTCTTCGCTCTCCACTACATCTCCAATTTTAGTGTCACCTGCAAAATTACTAACCATACCTCATACATTCACATGCGAACCATTCATATAAATGGCAAAAAGCAGTGGACCCACCACTAAAACCTGTGGCACACCGCTGGTCACAGGCCTCCAGTCTGAAAAGCAACCCTCCACCACCACCCTCTGTCCTTTACCTTTGAGCCAGTTCTGTATCCAAACAGTTAGTTCCCCCTTATCCTGTAAGCACTGATACAAAATACTCGTTTAGTATCTCGCCCATCTCCTGCAGTTCCACATATTGGTGGCCTTGCTGATCTTTAGGGGGCCCTATTCTCTCCCTAGTTACCTTTCTGTTCTTAATATATTTGTAGAATCCCTTTGGATTCTCCTTAACCCTATTTGCCAAAGCTACTTCATATCCCCTTTTTGCCCTCCTGATTTCCCTCTTAGATCCACTCCAACTGCCTTTACACTCCAGGGATTCAGTCAATCCCTGCTGTCTATACCTGACATATACTTTCCTTCCTTTTTCTTGACCAAACCCTCAATTTCTCTAGTCATCCAGTACAACCTGTACCTACCAGCCTTGCCCTTCACCCAAACAGGAACATTCTGTCTGTGGACTCTTGTTATATTATTTTTGAAGGCTTCCCATTTTCAAGCTTTCCCTTTTCCTCCGACACCCCCCCCCCCCCCCCCCCCCCGCCATTGACTTTTGAAAGTTCTTGCCTAATACCATCAAAATTGGCCTTCCTTCAATTTAGAAGTTTAACTTTTGCACCTCTAGTAGGTACAGCCACATACTGAAATCAGAAAATTTTCTTGTGCACACTTAAATTCCTCTCCATCCAAACCCTTAACACTATGACTGTCCCAGTCTATGTTTGCAAAATTAAAATCCCCTACCATAACCACCCTATTACTCTTACACATAAATGAGACCTTACAAATTTGTTTCTCAATTTCCTGCTGACTACCAGGATGGGGCTACAGTAAAATCCCAATAAGACGATCATCCCTTTCTTATTTCTCAGTTCCACTCAAATAACTTCCCTGGACATATTCTTAGAAATGTCCTCCCCAAGTATAGCAGTAATGTTATCCTTAATCAAAAATGCCACTCCCCCCCTCCTCTCTTGCTCCCCTTTCTATCTTTCCTGTAGCATCTATGCCCTGTAACATTAAGCTGCTGGTCCCGTCCATTCCTAAGCCACGTCTCTGTAATTGCTATGCCATCCCAGGCCCATGATCCCAACCAGGCCCCGAGTTCATCTGCCTTACCAGTTAGGCATCTTGCATTCAAATAAATGCAGTTTAATTTATCGTTCTTATCTCGTTCTCTGATTTGTCCTGCCTGCACTGACTGTTTGACTTACTCCTTTTCGCAACTATATCAGTCTCAGAAACTCTGTTTCATCATTATCTCCCTAGGCACCCCCCACTAGTTTAATTCATCCTGAGCAGCTCTAGCAAATCTCCCCACCAATATATTAGTCCCCTTCCAATTCAGGTGCAATCCGTCTTTCTTATACAGGCCACTTCTACCCCAGAAGAGGAGATTCCAATGATCCAAAATGTGAATCCTTCTTCCTTGCACCAGCTCGTCAGCCACGCATTCATTTGCTATATCCTCCTATTTCTACCCTCACTAGCTTGTGGCACCAGGAGTAACCCAAATATTACTACCCTCGAGGATATCCTTTTTAAATTCCTAATTTTCTATATTCTCTCCTCAGAATCTCATCCTTATCACTTTCCTGTGTCGTCAGTTATAATGTGTATAACCACCTCCTGCTGGCCCCTCTCACCTTTGAGAATATCCTGCACCCCGAGATATCCCTGATCCTGGCACCAGGGAAGCAACACACCCTTCTGATATCTCACTGTCGGCCACAGAAACGTCCGTTTGTGCCTCTGACTAGAGAGTCCCCTATCACAATCGACCATTTGGAACCTAGTGTACCCCTCCTTATATTACAGCAAGTGTCAGTACCAGAAACCTTTTGTAGCTGTCAGTGCTACATTCCCCCGAGAGTCCATCACACCCTACATTTTCCAAAACAGCATACTTGTTTGCGATGGGGATAGCCACAGGAGACTTCAGCGCTACCCGACTCAATCTTCAGTTTAGCTCCCTTACTGCAACTGCAATCCATCACACCCCCAGCACCTAAAGATTTCTCACTGCCTTTAATTGTTGCTCCAACAGGATTCGCAACCAAGCACACTTCCTGCAGACATAATCATCAGTAACATGGAAACCCTCCCTAATCTCCCACATCTGACAGGAAATGCGCATCACTCTACTAAAGAGAACACAGTGTGGAGCTGGAGGAACACAGCAGGCCAGGCAGCGTCAGAGGAGCAGGAAAGTTGATGTTTCGGGTCGGGACCCTTCTTCAGAAAAAGGGTCAGACAGTAGTGTAGGTTTCTTTCTCCATTGATTCACTTCCCAACATGTGGTCAACTGACTTTGTCTCCCTTTCTATTTTTTTTAAAAGCACTGTTTTGATTTTTTTCCTCAATGTTTCAAAACAATGCAACAGCTTATAGAACAGCAAGAACTGCTCCAAAAATTCAAGGACATCAGCTCCAAAACTGAAAATACCTCAAAAAAAAAAAGCAGCTCTTACAGTCACAATTTTTTCCTGTCCTCCATCTTGGATTACCCAGAATCCTCCTTGATGAGAAGCGACAAAATTGCTGCTCATTTATGCCTCAGCTACAAGCATTTTGGTTCAAAACAGAATTTCATTTTTCTTTTCTTTAGCCAATATTAGCTTGTATGAAGGAAGGTGAAATGAAGATCTTTGGAGAGATTGTTCGTATTAAGAAACAAGAATAATATTCCTTGAAGTGCAGGAGTCATAAATTCTGCCACTTGTTTAAAATTTGATAACATTGGTAATAACACCCTGACACCTTTAGATCGTCGTAATTAAGGACCTTTTTAAAAAAAATTGTGGTTTTAACTACTGCGGATTGAAATGAGAAGGCAGTATTTGAAAGGGTAACTGCAGTTTTTAAAGCAAGTAGCCTGATATCCATTAACAACTGCTGAATAAGCAATTATTGAAACTGGAGCCACAGACAATTGAGAGCTGAGGGGGTGTGGAGATGCAGCTCTTGCTGGGAACTAGCTGCTGCTTCGTCTGTGGATCAGTAATAGTCAATAGCAGAGACCTTTTTACCTGATAAGAAATTGGGAGATTTGGTTCTCAGGTAACTGAACTGCTTGCAGCTGGAAGAAGAGAGGGAGAGAGAGAAGTATTCCAATCTTACCCAGCTCAGGGCCAGTCTCTCTGTTCTCTGCAGTCAAAACCTCCTGTAAATCTAAAGAAATTCAGTTCATCTTCCCTGCAACAGTTGTTGTAAGCTGTGACGTTTAACTGACAAGTTAGAAACATTTTGAGTGAACTAGCCACCTTGTGTCTCTTACTAACCAATGAAGTACCAGCAGATGACTGAAGCAACGTGCTGGCTAGTAGAAAAATCAAAGTCATCTCAACTAGCGAACTGTTTTTCCAGTTTTCCCTTTCTGACTATCAAAGATGGAGTGGATGAGGGGATCAGAATTTCAATTAGAAATGTTATATGGCTTCTGTTTAACTGTAGCTAAAGTCTAACTACTTTATAAGTGTAACTGTTGGACAGTACAGAAACCTGGTCTGTGTTTCCTACCAATCTGAGTCTGAAAGTTAGGTAAATTGGGGAACTTTGAGCACTTTTAAATCTTTAGCTTTTTTGGATGACTCTAGTGATTTCCAGGGAGTCGTTATATAATTAACAGTGCGGTATAAGAAAAACTTTAGGTCCTGGGAAAATTGTATAGTAATATTTGATAGGCTTCAAATGTGTCATTTTTAAGTATGGCAAGAAATATTATACAGCTTTAAAGCAGCAATTATTGCTTATTGATGTAATATTGTATCAAACTATTCCACAAATATCTACTTTAAGTATATTTAAAGTCTGGCAATGTAGAGAGAACTTGCTTCAGATCCAGAGTCATTAACTACATAGAGTCATAAGAGTCATACAGCACAGACGACGACTCTTTGGTCCAGCTTGTCCATGCTGACCAGGTTTCCTAAACTGAACTAGTCTCACCTGCCAGTGTTTGGCCCATGTTCATCTAAACCTTTCCTATTCATGTACCTGTCCAAATGTCTTTCAAATATTCGAATTTAAAATTACCTCTGGAGGAATCCATCTCAAAAGAAATGGAGTGTTCTCCAAAGCGACACGTACAAATGTCATGAAAATTTAGACATCTTGCCCAAAACACCCTCTTAATGATTGTCCTCACTCCTACCCTACTACTTAAATTAAGAAAAGCAGCACTTCCACCATGCTTCACTATTTTTTTCTAAATTGCTTAACAGGCTTTGTCATATTTTTAAGGTTTTTCTGAGAGTTCCTATAGGGAAGGAAATCTGCTCTCCTTGCCTGTTTTGACCTATATGTGATTCTGTATGCACAGCATTGTGGTTGACTCTTAAATTTCCTCTAAAATCAGCGAGCAAGGCACTCAGTTGTTATCAAACCACCATAAAGCTAAAAAATATTGAAATCAGACAGACCACCCAGCATTGCCCTTGACACCAGAAACGACAGCAGCAAATCCATCTTGTTAAACCCGCAAAGTCCTCCTTAATAACATCCGAGGATTTCCAAAATTAGGAGAGCTCTTGCACAGACTGGTCAAACAACAGTCGAATATAATCATAATCACTAAATCATAACTTAATTTCCCACATCACTGCATCGCAATCTCCAGGTATTTTCTGTCACACCAGCAAGACAGATCTACCAGAGTGACAGCACAGTGGTATACCAATGGGAAGCAGTTTCTGCGGGAATGCTTAAGCATTCTTTTTGTGTCTTTTTCAATCTCAAATGTACTGTGAGGTAACTTCAAATTTACACGACCAAGACTCTCAGTCCCAACAATGATGACGGAGTTTGGCTGAGTCCTTGAAAATGTGACTGCTAGGCGGAGTCGGCTGCAGGTGGTGGGGAAGCCAATAAGAGGAAAGAATTGCCTACATCGTGACGACCAGTCACAAATTTTTCTGAAGAAGGGTCCGGTCCCGAAACGTCAGCTTTCCGGCTCCTCTGATACTGCTTGGCCTGCAGTGTTCATCCAGCTCTACACCTTGTTACCTCTGTCACAAATACAGCTGTCTATACTAGTACTGGTAGGAATGATCACTGCATAGCCCTTCTGGAGACAAAGGCCTGTCTTCACGCTGACGATACACTCCATCGTATGCGGCCCTACCACTGGACTAAAAAGTTTAACCAAGATGCACTATGGGCCATCAAGCTGTAGAAGAATTTTAATCAAACACAAACTTTAACCTTACGCCCAGCATTTTTCATACTCCATCATTACCATTAAGCGGAGAGATGAACCCTGATTCAATGAAGGGTGCAGGTGGGCATATCAAAAGCTGAGATGAATGACCTCCAACAGCTACAACCAAAAGCAGCACCAGACATACCTACAAGAGATTTTACTCCGTGAAGGTGCTACTCAGGAGTACTGACATGTGAACATGCAGAAGTAGCATGCGACTGACAGAACTGAAATATCCCATAAATGATGAATCAGATTTAAATTTTGCAGGCTTCCACATGAAACCATAAACGGTGGTGGACAATTAACCAAATAATTAGAGGTGACTGCTCACCAATATTCCAAAGCTCAGTGATGGGAGATCCCAGCACATCAATGCAAAAGGCAAAGCTGAAGTAATTACAAGCGTCTTCACCCCTAAGTGCCAAGGGGATGATCCATCTTGGCCCTCTCATGAGATCCCCAGCATTAGACACCACTTCAGTCAATTTTATTCTCTCATGATATCAAAGAATAGCATCAGACACCAGAAACAGCAAAGGGAAAGGGAAGTCAACTTCTAGCAACAGTACTGATGACTTGTGCTCCCTAAAATTAGCAAACTTCTAGCCAAGACATTCTGGTACAGCTCCACAACTTATGTTTACCCAACAACTGTGGAAAAACTGTCCAGGCATAATCTTGCATGCAAAACATAGGACAAATTTGACATGGCCAATGATTATCCCATCATCAGTAAGCTGATGGAAGGGACTGTCAACAGTGCCAGCAAGGAGCACTATCTCATTAATAACCTACTTACTGATGCACAGTTTGAAATTTGCCAAAGCCATTCAGCTCTTGATCTCATTACAGCCTTGGCCAAATATGACAAAAACAGCTTAAACTCCAGAGGCAAAGTGACAGTGGCTGCCCTTATATCAAGGCCACATTTTACCAAGAGCAGCATCAAGGGTCTCTAACAAACTAGAGTCAATGGGAATCAATTGTAATCTCTTCACTGGTTGGAATCATGCAGAGCAAAGGAAAATGCTTATAGTTGTTGGAGGTTAATCATCTCAGTCCAAGGACATCACTGCAGAAGTTCCTCAGGGTAGTGCTCTGGGTCCAACCATCTTCAGTTGCTTCATTAACGTCCTTCCTTCCATCATAAGGTCAGAAATGGGGATGTTCACTGATGATTGCAGTGTTCGGCACCATTCATGACTCCTAAGATACTGAAGCAGTCAGCATCCACGTGCAGCAAGACCAAATGACAACGTCCAAGAAGACAATATAAATTATCTCCTTTTACATTTGCTGAATCTCTTACCAATATCCTGAAGATACCAGAGAATAGAAATTGAACTGAACCAGTCATATTGATACTGTGGTTACAACCACAGATCAAAGGCTAGGAATTCTGCCGTGACCAACTCATTTCTTAACTCCCTAAACAGGTCCATTTACAAGACACAAGGCCTGATTGTATACTCAAATAGCCTGAATGAGTACAGCTCCAACCGCTACTCAAAATTCCACAATATTCACATGACTGGCACACCATCTAACACCTTAAACATTCACTCTCTCCAATATGGACACAGCCACAAAAGCTGCAAGTTTGTGCAGGTCTCATTTACTTGGGGAAATAAAATTCAAATTCAATGGTTTCTAAATGAGTTTTATTTTATGTGTTGATCAACAACAAAAAGCAAATTACAGCACATACTTTGAGGACAGTGTGTTGGAACTGGCATGTTTGGAAAACCTTCTGTGCTAATATACAATGCCAGCTTAGGTCTCTGATAATATAACCACCATATGTGGTTAAACACTCTACAAATTACTATGTCACTTCTGCACTAAAACAAGAAATTAACAGTTTGAAGAGGGAAAATGGTGCTCGAGACTAAGATAAATATTTTGTTACCTGTTTTTTTTGATGAAGCTCGAAGGTCTTCAAAATCAGCAAAGTCGTCCTTTACTGCACCATTTAACGTGCTGAATGGGTCAAAAGTTGCACCACCTACATTGGGGAGCAATAGAAAAAGGGAAATCACAGTAGCAATTAATTTAGGATTTACTTCAAGTAGCAATTCATTGAAGGGAACTTAATGACCTTGCAGTATCAATGCTTTATTGATGATTCGACCATGATCAACAAATTTGGCAGATCATTCCTGAGAAGCAACAATGAGAACAGTCAAAAGCAAACATGCCAAACTTTCAAAGATTTGCATGTCCTAAATCCAGTTAATTTGTGTTTTTTTGGTAAAGTTTTCAGTTATCTTTAATAAATGAAAACTTAGTACTTTACAAAAATTACAGTGCAAAATATTGCTGTTAAATGTCAAATAGCTAAGCAAGAACAGAGATGTGATTTCCATAGGAACACTCATATGAATTACTATCTACAGTAGAATTTGGCCCTTTGAGCCCACTCTATCATTTAATAAGGTCACGCCTGATAACCATTGCTTACTAAAGATCTGTCCAGCTCTACCTTAAAAATATTGAAAGATTCTGCTCTTACACCACAATTTCTCTGAGAGTTCTAAAGACCTACGACCTTATTAGAGAGAAAAAGTTTGCCTCGTCTCTGTTTTAAGTGGCAGCCCCTTATTAAGTGGTGAGCCCTTGTTGTAGATTCTCCCACAGCAAGAAACATGCTCTCCACATCTACCTCATTGAAACATACAAGATCCTAATGAGTCTTAATCAGGTCAGTTAAACTCCAGTGAATACATATCTTAACTTATCCAAACTTTCCTCCTAAGACAACTTGTCCATTCAGCTTTAGCAATCTACTAAACCACAAGATCATAAGTTGTAGGAGCAGAATTAGACCTTTTGACCCATCAAGTCTGCTCCGCCATTCAATCACTTCTGAGCTTGCTCAAACCCATTCTCCTCCCTTCTCCTTACCTTTGATCCTCTTACTAATCAATAAACATCTAAGCTGCTTCCAACACATTTTTGTCCTTCCTTAAATAGGGAGACCATCACTGTACACAGTACGCCAGATATGGTCTCATCAGTTTCCTGTATAACTGAAACATGATGTCTTTCGTTTTATGTTCTGTTCTCCTCACCAAAAAAAAAAGTACGTTCTATTACCTTTTCTAATTACTTGCTGTGCCTCTATACTAGCATTTTGCAATTCATGTATTGATGCCCACATCTTTCTGCATTTCAGAGCTCTGAGATCTCTAATTTAGAGAATAAGCTTTCTATTTTTCAGGTCAAAATGGCAAATTTCACATTTTCTGACATTATACTCCATTTGCTAGATGTTTGTCAACTCACTTACCTATATCCCTTTATAGCTTCCTTACGTTCTTTTCACATTTTACTTTTCTTTCTACCTACGCATGTGTCATCAACAAATGTAGCAACTATTCCTTTGGTACCTTCATCCAAGTAATTTATATAAATTGTATATCGTTTAACCCTTTGGCATACCACTCACTGCATCTGAAATAAGACTGGAAAAGACCCGGTTATGCCTACTTTTGGCTTCCTGGTGACTTGGCAATTTTCTATCCATTCGATGTGTTATACAGTACATCATAAGCATTTACTTTCCATAACAACCTATAATATACCAACTGATTAAATGCTTTCTGCAATTCACATACAGTACACTTTCCCCTTATCCACAGCACAAGTTACTTCAAGAATTTCAATTGGTTAAACAGGACTTCCCTTTCACAAAGCTATGTAGACTGTAAGGCTCTCAAGTAGATGTGTAGGTCAGGTTGTAGATACTATGGCTTGTTTGCTCGCCGAGCTGGTTCGTTACTTTGCCGATGTTTCATTAGTCTGCTGGGCAACATCATCAGTGCAGCCTCCGGTGAAGCTTTGTTGTTTTCCCGCTTGTTACTTAAATTCTGGGGTCCATTGGAGTGGATTACCTCACTTCCGGTTTTTCTTTGCAGTGGTGTGTACATAGGGTCTAATTCTACCTGTTTATTGATGGCCTTCTTAGTGGAGAACCAGGCCTCTAGAAATTCCCGTGCTTGTCTCTGTTTGGCTTGTCCTAGGATCCTGATGTTGTCCCAATCAAACTGGTGGTTCTCCTTGTCTGTGTGCATGGAAACAAGTGAATACTGGTAGTGTCTTTTTGTTGTTAGTTGTTGTTCATGTATTCTTGTGGCCAGTTTCTTTCCTTGCCTGGAATCTTGTACATTACAATGGTTCTGTCCATAGTGGGTAAGGAATCTTTGGTTCTTGTTAGCAGTTGGTGCAGGGTTGATGTAGGTTTGTGTGCTACCCTGATGCCCAGTGGCCACTGGAGTCTTGTAGTCAGTTCAGATTCATTTTTGATGTATGGTAACATAATAAGTGTGTTGGGGATACTGTATCTTCCTGTTGTTTGTGTGACAGGTATCGTCAGACCCAGCTGTTCGGGCATCCATTGTTTCTAAACACTTGGAGGTATTAGTCTTCGTTTTGGCATTGTTCTGGGTTGCTACAATGTTTTTATGCAACTCGGTTTGTTGGTGTTGGGGTGGTTACTGTCGACATTTAGGATTTGATCCGTGTGTGTGGCCTTTCTGCATACTTTGGTCCGAAATTGCCTGCCAGCCCTGCGTTCTACCATCACTTTCAGGAGTGGGAGCTGTTTGTTCTTTTCTTTTTCTCTGGTGAATTTGATGCCAGTGAAAATATTGTTTATTTATCAGAAAGATACAGTACGCCCCAACACACTTTTCAGATACGTTCTTGATGAACGGTAACATGACCTTACAAGACTCCTACAGCCACTGGGCATCAGAGTAGCACACAAACCTACATCAACCCTACTATGTCTCATCAACCCTCCACCAACTGCTAACAAGAACCAAAGACCCCTTACCCACGATGTATATTACGTTGGTTCTGCGCAAGATCCCATGTAAGGACTGCGACAAACAGTACATCGGACAGACAAGAAGGAAATTGGCTACGAGAATACATAAACACCAACTAGCAACAAAAAGACATGACCAAGACTCATTCGTCTCCATACACACAGACGAGGAGAACCACCAGTTCGTTTGGGACAACATCAGGATCCTATGACAAGCCAAACAGATTCAAGGACAGGAATTTCTAGAGACCTGGTTCTCCATCAAGGCGGCCATCAATAAACATATACACATCACTGCAAAGAAAATCCAGAAGTGAGATAATCAACTCCAATGGACCCCAGAGTTTAAATAACAAGCGGGAAAACACAACAACACTTTACCGGAGGCTGCACCGATGATGTTACCCAGCAGGGTAATGAAAATGTCTGCAAACTAACGAACCAGCTGAGCGAGCAAACCAACCACACTATGTAGACTCTGTCTGATTAGCTTAATTTTTTCTAAATGTCTTGCCACAATGTGTTAATAACAGCTTCTAACATTCTAAAACTTCAAGCTTAATTTGCAGCCCTAGAAGTTTAAATTGACAGTCCTAAAAATTAATTACGTGAGTACAGGTCTCCAGCATCGGCAGTTCCCACTATCTCTGAAGAGATTTACCAGGATGTTGCCTGGAATGGAGGGAAGGTCTTATGAGGAAAGGTTGAGAGAGCTAGGGCTTTTCTCTTTTTAGAACGACGAAGGATGAGAGGTGACTTGATAAAGGTGTAGAAAATGATCAGAGGTATAGATAGAGTGGACAGCCAGAGACATTTTCCTAGGGTGGAGGTAGCTCTTATGAGGGGGCATAGTTTTAAAATGAGTGGAGGTAGATATAGGGGAGACGTCAGAGGTAGGTTCTTTACTCAGAGTGGTCGGGGCGTGGAATGCATTGCCGTAGAGGGTAGTGGAGTCAGCCTCATTAGGGGGATTTAAGCAGCTATTAGATAGGCATATGGATGGAGATTAGATAGAACGTAGGATTCGGGTAAAAGTTCGGCACAACATCGTGGGCTGAAGGGTCTGTACTGTGCTGTACTGTTCTATGTTCTACAGAAGTTAGATAAATGAACGTAAAGCATACACAATAGTGATGTACTGTCTTCAGATGTCTCTGATATGCTCTGTAAATAAGGTCAGCCACAACATTTTCAAAATATTCTAGTTACATCTACAAGAATCAGTGCTGCATTTTTTCTTAATGACTTGAATTAATGCAACTTAAAGTCCATCAATGTATGCAGCTAGGATCGAATTGAAATATGAAGTTTGTTGCATGGTTAATCTTTAGATCCTAGGCTTATAAATCTATAGCTGTTTTTCCTTCATAACAAATATTTGAATTTTTAGATTTGTTAATGTTTCTTTGAGATTCCAAGAACACCAGTTTTTGTTAAAAGTTGAAATCTTTTCAACTTGGCAGAATGGGTTATATGATAGGCTTGCCTACTGCCCTTTAATTTCTGGGCACAGGCTTGAATTTTTCCCCAAGGCTGATACAATAGCATGCAGATAGCAGAAATTAGGCTGCGTCCCGTGCCCATCCAATGGGCTGTAAATAGCTACTCATGATTCAGCACTAATATATCACGTTTTACTCAAAAGAGATAATTCTAAGGTTAGAAATATGCAAACATGTGCTGGTGCAGCCGAAAATGCCTTCAAAAAGGTATGAAACACTTGCAAAGTCTTCAAAAACAAACCAAAACCGTGGATGCTGGAAATCAGAAACAAAGTCAGAAATTGCTGGAAAATCTCCGGTCAGGCAGCATCTGTGCTGAGAAAGCAGAATTAACTGTCTCAGTCAGTGAAGATCCTTCTTCACAAATAGAATGTTAACTAGAACATTTAGTCTGCTTTCACTTCATTGATACCGCCTGACTCGCTGAGTTTTTCCAGCAATTTCTGATTTCATAAAGTCTCCACATGCATTTTCTCAAAATACCTTTGCTTGGATTGCATGACACTGACAACTGGTGGCAAACTGGAAATTATAAATTTCATTTTTACAATAAGCTTACCCAAAACAGAATCTGTTGAAGGACCTGGTGCCCATGGATCAGCTGAAGACCTCAGAACAGCAGAGGTAGTATCTGAAGAAGTCCATGGGTCAACACTTTTAGGAAGTGACTGGGTGGCAGATAACGTAGGAGCACCCCAAGGATCAACAGCAGCAGTGGATTTGCTATCTAAGACCAAATAAGATAAAAATCTTTTTAAAATGTTAATAAGAAAAGGTACTTTGAATGCAAATTACGTCAGAATAATCAACTGCTTACTGATCCCCCGTTAAAAACAAACTGATATTTCAAACAAACAAAAACAGAACCCAATGCAGAAATTCAGCAGATTTGGTAGCATCCATGGAGAGAAAACAGAGTTAAAGTTTCTGTTTTTGTTTTTTTTTTCAGATCTCCGGCATCTGCAATTGTTTGTTTTAATTTAAATGATATTTGAAATTGGGTTATCTAAAATGGGTGGATAGTGCCTGTTCTTGGTCATGCTACAAGAAAAACAAGTCGATTACAACCTAAAAATAAAACTTAAGTGACTATTTAAAAAAACATTTTGAAAAGTGTCAGGTACTGATGAATTACTAAATACTAATACATCCTGTGGCATAACCCACAGTACAAGTTGTGATCACAAAGGAAAATATTCTGTGATATTTGGCTGATAATTTTTTTTTATTCATGGAATGTGGGTGTCACTGGCTGGGCCAAAATATATCACCCAGCCATAGTTATCCTTGAGAAGATGATGGCGAGCTGCCTCTATTGATCCACTGCAGACCTATAATGCTGCTGGGGAAGGAGTTCCAGGATTTTGACCCAGCTGATACTGAAGGAATAGGGATAGATTTCCAAGTCAGAATGGTGAGTCCCTTGGAGGAAAACATGTATCTGCTGCCCTTGTCTTAGTTGGTAGTAGTCATGGGTTTGGAAGGTGCTGTCTAAGGAAATACGGTGAATTTCTGCATTGTATCCTGTAAATACACACTGCTGCTACTGATCACCATTGGAGGGGGGAATGAAAGCTAGCAGATGTGAAGGCAACAAAGTAGGCAAGCTTGGAACGTTGTTGAAGCTGCATTTATTCAGGCAAGAGGGCAGTATTCTCTTATAATCTTAACTAGTGTCTTGTAGATGATGAATAGCCTTTAGGAAGTCAGGGTGGGAGTTACTTGCTGCAAGACTGAGCCTCTGATTTGCCTGTGCAGCCATTGTAGTTATATGGCAAGTCCAGTTCAGTTTCTGGTCGATGGTAGCCCCTAATATTATTCCAGGTATTATTCCAACCAGCAAAGAGTTTTCCCTTGGATACCCACCAGTTCTAGGTTTGATAGTATACATGCTGTCAATTATGGCCTTCATGTCAAAGGCAGGCACCCTCATCCCATCTGTCCATGCTTAATTTAAGGCTCTAATGAGGTCAGGAGCTGAGTGGGCCTGGCGGAACCCAAACTGAATATCCGTGAGCAGGTTATTGCTGAATAAGTGCTGCTTCATGAGATTATTGATGACATCTTCCAGCACTTATGACTGAAAGTCGATGATGATGAGATGATAATTAGTTGAGTTAATTTATCTTGCTTTTTGTGTACAGGACATATCTGGGCAATTTTCCACATTGTCAGGTAGATGCTAGCATTGTTGCTTCACTCTAACAGTTTGGCCAGGTGTGTAGCAAGTTCTGTAACACATTCAGTACTACTGCCAGAATGTTGCGAGAGTCATAGATTTTGCAGATTCCAACTCCTTGCCATTTGTTGATATCACGTAGGGTGAATGGAACTGGCTCATGATCTGTAATGCCAGGGGCTTATGAGAGAGGGAAAGATGCATATCCACTCAGTACACGGCTGAAGATTATTTCCTTTTCTTTTCTAGTGAGTTGTCCACCACCATTCACGATAATGTTAGGCAGGTCTGCAGAGCTTAGATCTGATCTGTTGGTTATGGAATCGCTCAGCTCTATCACTTGCACCTTATGCTGCTTTGGCACACAATTTAGTCCTGTTTCATAGCTTCACCAGGTTGACACCTCATTTTAAGTATGTCTGGTGACACTCCTGACTATCTCTGCACTCTTCTTTGAGCCAGGGTTGATCTCCTGGCTTGATGGTAACAGTAAAGTCGGGGGTACGTAGGCCATGAAGTCGTAGATTATGTTGGAGTATAAACTAACTACTGCTAGCGACCCATAGCACCTCCTGGACGTCAGTCTTGAGTTGCTAGGTCAGCTGCAAGTCTATTCTATTTAGCATAGTTATACTGCCACACAGACACACCTAGAGGTGAAGAGGGAACTTTTTCTCCAAGAAGGACTGGGGCATAGTCGGCCTTACTAATATTGTCATGAGAAAGATGCACTGGTGGCTGGTAGATCAGTGAGAAGGAGGTCAAATATGTTCTCCACTTTGTTTAATCCCCCACATCTGCTGCAGTTCTAGGCTAGCACCTGTGACCTTTAGGACTCAACCAGCTTGGTCAGCGTTGGTGCTGTCAAGCCACTCTTGCTGGATGACATTGAAGTCGACCATCCAGAGTACATTTTGCACCCATATCACGTTCAACATGGAGGACTGCTGATTTATCAGCTGAAAGGAGGCAGTATGTGATAATCATTAAGTGTCCTTGCTCACGTATGACCTGATGCCTTAAGAGTTCATGGGGTTTAGAGTTAATGCTGAGGATTCCTAAGGCAATTCCTTCCTGACTGTGCCACTGTGCCACCACCTCTGCTGGTGCTGCTCAGTGATACAGGTCATATCCAGGGAATATGATAGTATGATCTGGGAGATTTTCTACAAGGTATGATTCCACGAGTATGACTATGTCAGGACATTTTTTGAATAATGTGTGAGCTCTTCCAAATTTGGAACTAGTTTCCAAATGTTAGTAAAGAGTACTTTGTAAGGTTGGCAGTGCTGCATTTGCTGTTGTGACTTCCAGTGCTTTAGTTAATGCCAGGTGGCCCTTCCATCCAAGCTAAGCCATTTCAGAGGGCTGCTAAGAATTGACCATATTGTGTGGATTTAGAGTCACATATAGGCCAGACCAAGCAAAGATTTCTGAAGAAGGGTCTAGGCCCAAAATGTCAGCCTTCCTGCTCCTCTGATGCTGCTTGGCCTGCTGTGTTCATCCAGCTCTACACCTTGTTACCTCTTTATCAAAGGTTTTCTTTCCTTTATTCATTCACAGGATGAGGACATCACTGGTTAGATCAGCATTTATTGTCCATCCTTGATTGCACAGAGGGCAGTTAAGAGTCAACTACATTGTTGTGGGTCTGAAGTCACATGTAGACCAGACCAAGTAAGGATGATAGATTTCCTTCCCTAAAAAGGTTGTTAGGGCACCAGATGAGTTTTTCCTGACAAACAATGGATTCATGGTCAACATTAGATTCTTAATTCCAGGTTTTTTTTTAATATATTGAAATCAAATTCTACCACATGCCATGGCAGATTTGAACTTGGGTCCCTGAACACTTTTTTCTTTATTCATTCACAGAATGAGGGCATTGCTGGCTAGGCAGTATTTTATTACCCATCCCTAATTGCCCAGAGGGCAGTTAAGAGTCAACCACATTGCTGTGGGTCTGGAGTCACATGCAGGCCAAACCAGGTAGGATGGCGGTTTCCTGCCCTAAAGGACATTAGTGAACCAGATGAGTTTTTCCGACAATCTACAATGGATTCACAGTCACCATCAGATTGTTAATTCCAGATATTTATTGAATTCAAATTCCACCTTCTGCCATGGCAGGATTCTAACCCAGGTCCCCAGAACATTATCTGGGTCTCTGGATTAACAGTCCAGTGGTAATTTCACAAAGACCACTGCCTCCCCCAATTAGCAAATTTCTTAGTGAAAACAATAGTTTCATGACTTTAAATTCCAGATTTTTTATTTTGAATTCAACTTCTACCATCTGCCATGGATTCAAATCTAGATCCCCAGGTTATTACTTGTGTCTTCGAGTTTCTAGGCTGTTGCCACAGTTTACGTTTTAAGCCATACTGTATTCCAGCTACTTGATACCTTATGGAAGGTTGGAGGTCTCTACAATCCCAATATATTAATTCAGGATGATGCATTTCATCTTTAATTAAAATATAACTAAAAGGTTATCTGTAGGATAACCAAAAATTAGCCTTGAAAACAAAGGGAAACATTCTGCAATTTAAGTTAACATAATATGCAAAATAGAGATTTATTACCAAAATTTAAATTATCTGTTAGATTATAAATTAAAAAGGATCCTGCCATGTTATTTCTACACACAAATGCAATGGAAAGTACAAATAATCTTACCAATAGATTGCCATGGATCTGATGCTCCTGGACTGCTTGCTTCTCCCCATGGGTCATTTTTTTCTAGAGAAACAGGTCGAACAGATACTCCCCATACAATAGCTTTTTGTGTTGCTGTGGTTGGCAAGGGATCCATGAGGGTAACTGTGGATGCCTGTTATTTAATTGGGAGAAGGGAAAAAAAGAAATAAGTTATCTAAGAAAAAAGTACTATTAGAAAAGTCAGAGAGTGAAATATTAAGCAATTCTGACCGCTGATCTATTTAGGTTAATTCAAAGTACCTTTTCCATATTTTATGGATTACAAAATGGAGCACATTTTTAAGAATCGTTTCCTTCGTGTGCCTGTCATTTTATTTTACCCCCTCCAACTACAACTTCAGGTTATGTAATCGAAAGCCTTAGGACCGATTTTATCCCGATGAAAACGCAATTCATTTTCAGAGTTAAAATTGGGTCCTTACTGTCAGGACTGAAAATTTATGAACTTTTTTTTTGGAAGGATACAGACAGCAAAACAAAAAAAAAGAAACACACACACACTTCCCTCCTGGTATTTCTTCCCTGTACTGTTCACAATTACAAGAGTGGGCAGGCTAAATTTCTTCCGAAGTCACTTCCAAATTAAAATCAAATAAGAACGGAAAATATTAAAGAACAGAAACAGGCTATTGATCCCAATAAGTCATTGCCACTCTTTATGCTCCATTAGTATCCTCCACATTTCATTTAATCCATTTGGAATATCCTCTATTCTTTCTTCCTCACTTGCTTGCCCACATTCCCATTGAATGCATCCTATGTTATTCATCTTAATGTAACAGCAAGTCAACCACCTTTTGAGTGAAGGATCTCTCCCATCCTGATGGATTCCAGATTACATTCAGAAACAGCCGTCATAACTCTCACCTTTTTCTTCTTTGGAGCCGTGCTACCCACTACTACAGCTGAATTTCTGCGGCTCTCCTCCAAGGCCATCTGAAGTCGAAGATCATCACCACGGCGAAGACGATCCTCCTGATGAGGATTACAGTGCAAAATTATAAAGCATTCCCTTTATATGCAATAACACATCTACGAGGGTACATACTGACCGATGAATTAAGACTACCAAAGCACGACAGCAACTTTAGAATACACACAAATCTGCCTAAAGAGAAAGGATAGAGAATTAAGATTTCAAGACAATAATGGAGAGAGAAAAGGAAAAAATTAGAGCTGCCAGAAAACCATCTAAAAATATAAGCAGTCAATATCCAAATAATCTCCTGTTAAAACATATTGGATTGCGAGAACAATCTGCTTATACAAATTCAGCACAGCTGGCTACCAAAATTCTGAACTTGGTTGAATACATTTCTTTGCCAATTATCCCAACATGGAATGGATTCAAAGTCATGCTCTCAGTTATAAACCAAATACACTAACAAGTAAAAGTTGATCTGAGAATGAATGTCCACATCTTCTTCCAGAGGCGGTGTTTAGCATTTCACACACTGCTCTCTTTGGCAACAACTGAATACGATTTGTCTACCTAGGAAATTCCGTGTCACTGGTCATGGGTTCTGTGGGTCCTTATATGGCTGATGAGCCCAATTCAGGATCCGCATCTTTGACCACACATTTGGGGAGGTATTTCTGGCAGATGGAATTGGTCCTTAGCCTTGAAATTACTGCCATTCCTTTCTCTAGTTCCTTTTCCGTACTTCCTCTTACTGATGGAGCACAGAATTGTCTCCTTTTAACAGTGCAACTTTCACCAAGTTGGCTTCTTTTGAACGAGGTTTCCCACGTGTTAACATCTATGTTGCATTTCTTGATGGAAGCCTCAAGTGCTTTTGAAATGTTTCCTTGGTCCTCCTCTCATTCGAGTGCTTTCCTTGAGATGCACAAGGATGATATGCTTTAGCAGGTGGAACTCGGGCATCCTAAGCATATGGCCGCCCCAAAGGAGTTGGCTTGGATGATCATGGCCTCAAGGCTGGTGCTTTTGGCTGCTTCTAGGACACTGGCATCAGTGAAGGACAGACTTCTCTGGATAGGGCAGAAAAGGAACTTTGTTTGTCAGTCATTCTCTCTTGCATTTAATCCTTCTCTTCTCGAACTGGTCTTTGTCTTATTCAATTGAGCAAAATTGCTGTGACCAGTGCTTCTCTGAAACATGCAACTTTCCTGAAAATATTGAGAGCTTAAAAGCATTCAGAAACTCCATTTGATTGCACTGGAGAGGGTGCAGAGGAGATTTATCATGATGTTGCTTGGGCTGGAGAGTTTTATGGAAACAGACTGGAAAGACTAGGGTTGCTTTCTTTGGAGCAGAGGAGAATGAGGGAGGTCAAGATTGAAATATATAAAATTATGAGGGGCATAGTTAGGGAGAAACTTCTCCTCTTGGTGGAGGGATCAATCACCAGATGGCATTGATTTAAGGCAACAGGCAGGAGGTTTAGAGGAGATGTGAGGAAATATTTCTTCAATCCAGGTGTTGGTGGAAAATATGAAACCCACCACAAGGGTGGTCGAGGCAGAAACCCTCATACCACTTAAGTATTTAGATGTACACTTGCAATGCCAAGGCATACAAAGCTATGGGCGAAGTGTTAGAAAATTGAAAAGAATAGTTAGGGGTTTAGTTTTGACCAGTGCAGACTCAATGGGCCAAACGGCTTTTTTCATTGCTGTAGATTTTAATGACTCCACTGCTGGATTTTAATTCACCTTCAGAATTATTCAGCAAGTTTCTCACCCTACTGAAAACTACTTTATTCTAAACATGAGAAATGAACAATTCATCATTTGTTGCAACCTTTACTAACTGAAATTTTTGTTTCTAACTTCTACATTTGATGTATAGATTTATAATAACTGATTGCAGAGAGAAAATATATAGTTTTACCATTTGATTACTTGACCTGGAGAGTTCAAAATAACCGCAAAGTTCCATTTACCATGTTTTTTACATTTCAAAACAGTTTCACCACATTAAAATAGACAGGTTACTTTATTGTTTTACAAATTGTTGCTTAAAAATAGACACTTTTTGAAGCTGCCTTGCACTTATCAGGACAATTCATTATTATGCCAATGAAAAAAGGATATCAATACTTATACTACATGAAAGGAGTGCTGATTGACTGGAAAGTGGATTCTGACTGGTCGAGACATTCTCTGTGACAATGTAGCAGTTAATGATGATTGACAGTTAATTGCCAGAATTTAAATTCCAAAACAGGCAGATTGACTTGGATTTCTCAGGGCAAAGCTTTGACTGATGAATCAGCGAATGGATGTCACCCATTTTATTGAGTTGAAATGAGATAGTGTTCTTTGTTTTCAAAGTAAAGACTATGTTCTAACATATGCAATGCTCCAAGCATGCCATACTACAAGCCCAAGTGACGATCCTAAATTGCCTGTCAGTATAATTCTTTGCACATTCAAGATTATACGCAAATATTATCTGATTACAGAATCGCATGCAATGTTGGTTATTTTGTTGTAAGCTTTGCAAGTGCAAATGTTCAAAGAATTCCACATAGGCCTAGGCCAACAGTGCCTGGAAGTACAAAATTGTTGCGACTGTTTTTCTAAGGTTGTCAATTACAGGCATGTCCTAGGCATTATAATGAGGTCAAGCACTACTAAAATGTTATTAGTGTTACTTAAGACAATTCCTTTCATTGTTATCGTGTGTATATATCGGGTGCCCCTGAAAACCTTCAGCAAATGTACAAATTGGTTTGTGCTAATTAGGAATGCATAGGACAGGTAACTTTTTCAGTTTCCTTCACAGCAGTACTGATTGTTCATCTCTATTTGCCATCAGGATGGTAGTCACCTTCCAACTCCATTTTGATTTAGCCCCTTCCCACTCTCTATACCTCTCCTTCACCTTTGATGGCTTGCATTGCCCTTAAAAGGTTTTGCATGTAAACTATTCAATTATAAACACGGATGATTTACTGAAGGTGATTAATAGATGAAAAAATACCACAGGTGATTTGATGAGGGGAAAAAAAAATTATGTTCAGTCGTGTGTAACAGCACTTCTAGATATAAGAAGAGCTGGATTCTTTGATGGTTACTAAGTTTAAAAAGTACCACAGGTGACTTGGTGATGAAAAAAACTCAGTTGTGTGTAAGAGAATTTCTGGATAAGAGAAAAATGACACAGTCACCTCCTTGAACCACTTTAGTCCATTCATGTACATGTCGATACACTCACTATGCTGTTAAGAAAGAAGTTCCAGGATTCTGACCCAGTGTGACCTCTGGTAGAGACAAAGTGAACGTTTAAGCTGATTGATTTAGTACCAATAAACCAGCTGCTTTGTCATGAAGTGTATTCAGCTTGTAATAGCAGTTGGAAGAGCCACAATCATCCAGGCAAGTAGAATATTCCATCACACTTGTACCTTGTAGAATATTTCTGGGGAGTCAGGTACCTTCATTTGCAGTCAGAATATTTATGTGGCTCATCCAGTTAGGTTTCCGGACTCAGCGACGGTAATGCCACTGAATGTCGAGGACAGATGGTTAGGCTTTCTCTTAAAGGAGATAGCCATTATCTGGCATTTGTATGTAATTAATGTTATTTGTCACTTATCAGCCCAATTCTGAATTTCATCCAGGTCTTGTTGCATTTGGGCACAGACTACATCGTATCTCAGGACACTGGAATGGTACAGAACGCAATGCAATAATCAGAAAACATCCTGACTTCTGTCTCTTTGTGATAAAAGAATGACTTCCAACAACAACCATATTCCTTTATGTCAGGTAGTACTTCAACTGGTGGAGAGTTCTGCTCCTGTGACTTCAACTTTGCTAAGCCTCCTTGATGCCATTAGATGCCTCTTCAAGCACTGTCAATGACACCTTTCATCAGTTTTCTAATGATAAGAGAGCAGATTGATGAGACAGTAATTGTCTGGGTTAGATCTGTCTTGCCTCTTACTGGACCAGACATACCTGAGCAATTTTTCAGTTTATTAGATGCCAGTGTTGTAGCTGTACTGGAATGCTAAGTTAGGAGTATGGATAATTCTGGAGCACGATTCTTCAGTACTATGGCTGGTCCATTGCAAGGGTCCATGGCCTTTGTAGTACTCAGTGTTTTCAGCTGTTTTGATATCAATTGAAGTGAATCAAATTGGGTGAATGCTGGCAGCTGTGATTGAGGAGACCTCGACGGTGGCCGAGAAGGATCATCAACTCAACTATTCTGGCTGAATATGGCTGGAAATATTTTCACCTTGCCTTTTGCACTGAAATATTGGAGGACCCCAATAATCGATTAGAACAAGGGATATAATAATTACAAGCTAAAAGCAGCCATTATCAACTCCACTGGGATGTCACTAGCAGACTCTCATTTCCCTCCCCTCCCCTGTCAGCATGTCACAGGGAATGTTCCCTCCAGGACAGCTTGGTCCACACCTCCTCCAATGCCAACACCCTCCAATGCCAACACCCTCCAATGCCAACACCCTCCAATGCCAACTTCCCATTAAATTATAAGGTGCAACGCTTACCTGTTTACCTCCTCACTGTCCAAGTCTCTAAACATACCTACTAGGTGAAGCAGCAATTTACCTGCAATCAGTCTAGTCCCTGCATTCACTGCTCACAATGTGGTCTCTTCTACATTATGGAGGCAAACTGCAGGATAAGTGACAGTAATTGTTTTGGAAAACAATCTGTTGGCAAAAAAAAAAAAAAAAGGTTCCAGTTGCCTGCCACTTCAACACGCTAGTGTTGCCAGGCCAACATTTCTATGACGGGTTTGCTGCAATGCTCCAGTGACGTTCAGTGCAAACTGGAAGAACAGCACCTAATTTTCCACTTGCAGCCTTCGGGAATCAATACGGAGTTCAATAATTTTAGAACCTGAACACCAACTTTTACCCATCCCAAACCTCAGGCCCTTTATGACATGAACTGCTTCCAGTACAACCCACCGATCCATTTTCACCTACCTTGGGTGGTTATTAATAGCTCTTTTTTTCTGCCTAGCA